ATCTCAGTGTGGTTTTGATTTGCATTTCCCGGATGCTGAGTGATGTTGAGCATTTTTTCAGTTCTTTTTTTTACAGTTCTTTTTGTGATGCTTTTAAATGTAAGCACTGATCAACCTATGAAGTAACAATGAACATCTGTAGTGAGCAAATGAATATCTACTCATGAACATCCACATGAACAAACAGAATGGGACAGGAGGAGTGAGGTGGAGAAAAAGTTGGGTGTGCAGTGTAGCTTACAGTCGTGTGCATGACTTTCTGCCCGTCCTTCAAGTTCCATATTTGTTATTGTGTCATTAATAAGGTCACCTTGACTTCCTCAACAGCCTACTGGTGTTGATCTGCTGTTCTCATGGGGCATTAGTATTCTGACTAATGCCACCTGTAGGTTAATGTCAGGTGGACTGCGTCTTACTCCTTAGAAGGTTTCTGTGTTGATCTTGCTCTACCAATGATCGCCTTAATCTCTGGCGATGGAAACTCACCTCACACTTGCTGTTAAATATTGCATTCCAAAGACAAAGAAATATTTTGTCAGAATTTACCAGTGACTTGTTCTTACTCCCATTATTGTTGCCATTAAATTATTAATAAGAATTGACTGTTCTGGAGAAAATGTCATCCATTGGCCTGTTTTGCTTGGAAAACATTCAGCTAAATTTTTGAGCTTATTCTTGCTGGCTATTGACACTGTTTTTAAGTCAGTTACAATGATTTTAACTAAATGAGTCTATCTCCTAAGACCTAGAAGCCTCGTTCTGCTCAGATGATGGATAGAACACAAACACTGGAGCTTTAGCTCCACAAAATTGCCATTTGTTGGGGAAATTCAGTTCCTGTAAGAGAGAATTCCTTACGGAATGCTTCCTGAGCTGACTGAGAACATGGAAGAGGCAGGCCCCAAGCTGCTAGCAGCAATGCACCTGGTCAGGGATCTTCATGTTCAGCCCAAAGTGTGTTTGCCCCCAAGTCCTTCTCTACCCCTTGGGCTTCCAGAGCCCAGCATGAGGGGGGAGAAATGTTTCCAAGAAACACAAAAACATTCTTCACCAGTTGAAAGAGCTGCCTAACAGTTGGAGTAAGATGGAGCAAAAAGCTGAGTCTGCAGTGTGGTTTGTAATCATAAAATCTAGCAAACTACAATAAACTAAACATTATGACACCAACATCCTACCGCTCCCTTTCCCCACCCCCATCTCTAGATCCCAGAAAACTTTGACCTCCATGGATTGATAGAACAACAGAGCCTTGTTTAAACTCATGCCAGGGAAGGGCTGGGGATTGTCCTGGAAACAATGGTGATGTAGACGAACTTTGTACATCTGGTGGCCACATTTTTAATATCATCTCCTCTGAGCAAGTTTCCCTATTTCCAGTGTCCAGTTCCCTCCCAGCTATGAAAACCAGCTTTTAGGAAAGGTATAGTAATTAGGTTTTATATCATAGTGTAATAAATTTAAGCAAACATATTGCCTTTCCCAGGCATATAAACATTTTAGCATTCTCTCTAATTTCTCTTCTACTGGCAGGATATTTGTTACCAATAAGAAAACAGGGGATATTATGGGAGGTCAAGAGATCTTCATAGCAATCTCAGTTGCTCTTCTGCAGTCTTCACACAGCAACTAAAGTAATTTTTTTAAAGAACTTAGGGTAGACCATGTCTCTTTCCTGGTGACTTGTTTTCTTAGAATAAAATCCGAAGTCCTGATGATGGCCTGCAAGGTCCTGCTTGATCTCCTTGCTTTCTCCGACTTCACCTCTGCTGTTTTCTCTGCTCCAGGCACATCGGCTTCCTTGAGCACCAAGTACCACCTTCCTTGGGGCCTTGGCACTTACCGCGGTGCTCTTCCCTGACGTTTGCACGAATTGTGTTCTCACCTTCTTAAGTCCCTGCTGAAATGTCCTGTTCTGAACATCTCTCCAAATGAGCACCCCCACCCCATCCGTCTGTCCCTGTGAGCTGCTCTATTCGTTGTTTCCCAGCGCTTACCTCTGTGTATTGATAGCCTATTCACACTGACTCGACTGTGTGCTCCAGGAACCTTATCTGTGTTGACACTGCTGGATGCTCAGTACCTAGAAAAGTGCTTAAATGGTGCTCAGTAAATACCCATTGACTGAATAAATCCCTGAATCATGCCACATCAGCAGCCACCTCTTCATCACCCATGGGGTCATGCTCAGAAATAAAAAGCTTAGGCTTAGTGAGTTTTCTCTGCTCTTGTGACCACCAGACACCATGTATTAATGAGAATCATAATAATTTGCTCCATTCATGAAATGCCCTTCACATACTTTATTGTTTAATTCTTGCATTTTATTCTGGCCAGTTTACAGATGGAAAGTAGGCTGAGAGGGTTCATGAGCTTCCCCAGTCATAGCTCTGGACCACACAGACCTGATTCAAGTGATTGTTCTGCAACCTGATAGCTGTGGAGCCTGGAGCTAGTTACTGAAGTTCTCTGAGCCTCAACTTTCCCATGTATACATGGAGATAACTATCAAAGCCAATAGAGAGCGCTAACACAGTTCAGGGTTAGGGTCCAGAGTGTGACATGGAAACTACAGTACCTTTCACAAGCAATGGAAGTTCAATCAAGGGCATTGGTTACACAGATAAGGGAACACCTAAGAAGCCAAACAGGTGACATGGTGAGGCAGCCAAGGAATTAGGAACAGGAGAGGACGCTGCCACACCTGGAGCGGGAGGCATGTGGAGGAGGAGGTCTCACTGGAACCCAGAAGCCATCAGCAGGAGCTGCAGCCATGGCAGGGGCTGTCCAGGAGAGCTGGAGCCACGGAGGAGACTCAACCTCTTGCCCCAACAAGCAGAGAGAGAAGGGGAGATGCTCCCCTCTCCTGACTCCAAAGCCTCCCATCAGCCAAACCTACCTGGAAGCCACAGGGCAAAGGAGCCTGGGGATGTGGCTTCCTGTGGAGCTGAGCAGAGGGTTCTGGGGTGCAGGCGATGGGTCCGCGAGCCTCCAGGCAGTCAGCAGGCAGAGCAGATGGGCACAAACAGTAGTTATCCCCAAGTGGACAACAGGGACTCAAGGCCAGATTGTCCGACTCCTGAGCCTCCTGTTCCTTAGGAACTGAATCAGCAACATGAACAAGTCTACCTGGTAGTGTTACATTCTGTAACCAACTCTGTCTAAATTGTATAAAGTTTTCTGTTGGTCATTTTTTTTAAGACGAAAAATATTCTATCTTCTCTCAAATGAGGCCACACACATGTGGTTAAGGGAATTCCCAGAAAACTAGCTTCATTGAGTGAATGTACCCCACAGTTAACTACACTGGTTCCTAATTTTTGGAGCAGAGTCCTTACAAAGCCGCACAGTGGTCAGTGCTTACAGCTTAGTAGAAAGTCTTCAGGTTAGAGGAGATGACTGTTTTGTTCGTGGCTGCATGTCATTTACCAGGCACTGAAAACTGCTTTGGCGAAGGATGAGCAAGACCCGGGGTCACCTTTGGCTCTGCCTCTCTTGTTTCTAGTCCCTGCTTATAACCCGCACCTTGCTGTCCTCTTCCCTCCAGAGTCAGGCGTCATCACTCTGAGGACACTACTCTGCCTCCCCTGGTACTTTAGCAGCCCTCTGACTGTTTCCTTTCTTCCACTCTTGTCCCCTCCAAAGCATTTTCCATCCTGCAGACAGAGTGATCTTTCTGAAATGCAGTCACATCAGGCCTCTTCTCAATGGCTGCCACCTCATCTCCAACCCCTCCCAAGGATACAGCTTTGATGCCTTTGCACAACATCAAGGGGTTCTGTGTCCTTGCCCTGGCTGGGTGGGCTGCTTCTGCCCACCGTTATGCACTGTGCTTTTGTTACTGCCTCTGTGGGATGGCTCCTCCCCACCTCATCCACCTTTCTGATGGTACCCCAAGGCAACTTCCTCTGAGGGGTCTTCTCCTGCTTCCATGGGCACAGTCAGCCACTTCCTCCTGGCTAGCAATCCCAGCAAAAGCCTGGCATAATGTAGACACATTTAAGATGTGTGTACGTTTTTGTTGAAGGAGATCTATCGTCCTATTTTGCAGAAATAAGACATCCTCGTGAGGATATTCTATCTCAAAGCTGTTGATGTTTCCTCTGAATTTTATTGCCAAGTCCTTTTCTTCCCCTCTGTGCCATTGGCATCCTCCTGGGCCAGAGTTTCCTCGTGTCCAGATTATAGTCTTGGTCAGTCATCTAAGTTGTGCACTTCTTAAAGCCAGGAACCAGAGAGTCAGCATCAGGTAGTAAGTAGACATTACTTTTCCTGAATCACTCAAAGAGCCTAGCACATTGCATGTATGTTTAAAAAAAAAAAAATTTACGCTGTCCTCCAAAAAAGTTTTAAGTGACTTAGGAAGCATTGAAAGAAAAGTGAAATGAAATCAAGGTTGGCAAGGCACCTTAAAAATACTTAGCTTCAATTTGCCCAGCATTTATTGAGCATCTACTATGTTCTCGACATCATGCAAGCTGCTGTATGTATAAACTCAATCCCTGTACGCAAGAAGCTCCCTCACCTACCCTTTCCCAGTTTTCTAGAGCCAGAATAAACATAACCAGTAAGCTTTCTTCCTTTAGGAAACATTCATCATGCAAGCTGCTGTATGTATAAACTCAATCCCTGTACGCAAGAAGCTCCCTCACCTACACTTTCCCAGTTTTCTAGAGCCAGAATAAACATAACCAGTAAGCTTTCTTCCTTTAGGAAACATTTATATATATATATATATATATAATCTCCCACAGGTAAGGTGTGTATGGAAAGGGCAGGTTCCTAAAGGCTTTAACGAGATGATCTGCTTTTGAATATCTGCATTTCTCTCCTCTTAATTGGTATCTTCCATGATTTCTGTGCCTTTTTAATTGTTCCTCTTTTGGTGGTGGTGTTTTGTTTTGTTTTTGTACCTGGTAACCTGATGTTTCTAAAAGTTGTTCAGGGACTTATTACATCCTGGCCCCTGTGCACCCCCATTCCATGCTAAGACCATTTGTTAGAATGTGGTTTGCTTCCCTTTACAAGGTGATGGTATCCACACTTCCAGCTCTGCCACATGCATCATGCTGTCACTGTAATACTTTCAGGGCCCATTTGGAAATAGATTGATTATTTTGAACATGAAAGGTGCGTTTGGGGAAAAACAAATGAATCAAATGGAAAAACGAATTAACATCATGAAATTTACCTTCCCAGCTGGAGACGTGATATATTTCTGTGTTCCTTGAAGACGATCCTCCTATAAGAGGGCACTATGAAAGGAAGTCTGCAGTTAGGTGGAGTCAGAGCTCAGCTTGAAACATGTTTATGAAGGAATGGAAAACACCCTCAGAAGGAAAAAGTTTAGAACTAGAACTTCTTACTTCTTGTAAGAGTATCTCATTCCAGAGCTTCTAAAGTCTCTGCAGTGTTCTTAATGAGGTTTGACATTTGCAGAGTTCAGTCCCGTTGACATTTACTGGGCATCTGCTGGGCACAAAGCATTGTGGTGCACTGTGGGGCTGTACAGACGAAAAACACTGTGTGTTCCGTTCGGTTTTATAAGAGAAATAGATATCCAAGTGAATAACTAAGGAGGAAAAGTTTTGTTTGGGCTTTTCTAGCAATTAATTAAGGCTCAAACAGCCAGAAGAAGTGTTATTAAGTATAGCATAAGAGGAGAACAGACTGTCGCCACCTGACTTACAGATAACAGTCCAAGAGATGGGAGAAATAGAGGTGTCCTGAGTCACTGGCTTCTTCATTTCTGAGCACCCAGGGGACCAGCAATTACCAGCTGTGTCTTCTCAGTCACTGGTGCCTACCCATCCTTGGTGCTGAGTATGTTCTTCCAGGTTCTAGGCATGAGCAAGGTGGAGTTGGAGCAGTTCTATTAGCAGCACTCTTCAACTGTACTGACCACATTGTATGCTAATTAATGACCTTTC